TTTAAACCAAAAAAAAAAAAAAAAAAAAAAAACTTAAAAAACAGAAATTAAAAGAAGAAATTAATGTAGCCATGGCCACTGCCATAGTGGAGGCGGAAGTAGCAGCCATGGAAGTGGCGATGGCATCGCGATGGCTGATGTTAAGTTTGAACAAAATTAGGAAGAAGAATAAAATCTGTAGTTGAGTGGAAGTGGTAGAACATCATTGCAAATGTATAAGCAAACCAGAGAGGTGCTCATTAATTCAACACAAAAGAAAGAAAGGAATAAGTGTTCCTCCAAAAATAAATACAAAAAAAAAAAGGAAATTAAAAGTACATTATGGGTAATGATTTCCCCACTCCCTTTTTATCCACTTACACTCCTTTTTTAGTTATAAAATGGAGTGTAAGTGGATAAAATTGGAGTGGGAAAATCATCACTCTATCTTTTTTATGATCATCTGTCCTTTAGAAGTTTAAAACTTTCACACAAAATTGTTTTTGGTTTCTGAGACAAAGCACTTGGTCCCTTGGTTTTCAACATGTAGGCTGCTAAGCTCAATGTTTTCCAAAAACAAATGCAGCTCGTGAAAATTCTCATACAAAATCTGAGTGCAAACGACAGCTTGTTTGAAATTGGTAGGAAATTGAGATGAACTTTTATTAGAATTTTAAAGAATATATAGGCCCATATTTGGGCTACATCTGATACATTAAGTTGGTTTCTGGAAACCCAAGAGGGTAAAATTACACTAAAACCACATGAATTATGGGCCTTGTGGTAATTTGTTGCCTAGAAAGAAAAATTAAGTCACATTTTCACCTTAATTAAAGTTTTGTTGGAATGTGCCACTTACGGCTAACTTGGTCTATTTTTCCGTCCAAAAAATTGAAGGTGCTATACACGTGACCCTTCAAAAAAAGTGTGACGATAGTTTGACAGATGTCAAAATATCCTTTGAAAAGGGTCACCAACTTTTTGGACGGAACACTAGATGGAGTTAGGTCGTAAATGGTACATTGCAACAAAATTTTAATTGAGGTGACAATACGATTCAATTTTTACTTTCAGCGGCAGTTTACAACAAGGCCTATACTTCAAGAGTACAATTAACATTTGACCTCACAATTGTTTCTAAAGCTGAGGATTGAAGATATCTTGGGTTTGGGTTCAAGAACAGAAATCTCATTAATAACATCAGCTTTGGCTGCTTCAAACTGCTCATCCTCTGCAGAAAAGTATAGTTTGATGTTGAAGTAAGAGTTCAAAGGATAAAGATGGAGTGACGGAAGATTTGAAGAGAAAAATGGTTCCTACCTTTCTCAATGGTGAAGTCATCAAAGAAACGGAGAAGCTTGGTCCTATTTGTGATAAGCACATTAACAATCTCAGGAGGCTTATTTTGGTTTGCAACAAATAGCTGTCAAAAGAACAAAAAACAAAAGAAGTTAATAACACTTTTAATAGACAATGCCTCAACTTGTTGTAATGCTGAAAAGGTTTAGAACTTGATATTGATCTGCACAAACCTTGAACACATGAAAGGTCTCTAACTTGATTGTCTTCTTTGGATCCTGCAAACATGTGATGCACAAACAAAAAAGCCATAGTTGAGTCAAATAAGTGACTTAACAAAAAGCTAGTGGCAGGCATGAACATGATGTGAGAGAGAGTTTATACCCTAAGAAGGTTCATCAGGATTCTCATGTTATCCAGAGAGCAGACATATTGAACCATCACAGCAGAGTTGGAGCGATCGAGCAACATATCTCCTAACAGCTGAAACAATTATGACATGTATGTCAATTATTATGAACACAGAACATGGTTCTCATGATGAACATAAACATGGTTCATGCAAGAGTCTCGGCACCAAAATAAATAAATAAATAAATAAATCTGTAAATTGTAATACCTTGATGGCCTGGCGTTTGGTGATATAATTTGAAGACTCAAGCAACTGAGAATTGTACTCTTGGAAAAACTGGAGCCAGTAAACAGAGGGAAAAAGTATTCAGATATTGACAATGAGATCATTCTCTATTGGAACTTATGAAATGTAGAAAAACTAAAAATAAAGTAAATTAAAAGTAACTCTCTGAGCTTTTCCATTTGCAATGAGAATGCAATCGATTGAATACAGGGCACCTGCACTGAGTTCAATCATCACATTCTCAGATTCCCTGACTGCCCAAATTTCTAAAAACATCTTCTTCCATAATCTCATTAGTCTGTAGTATTATAATACAAGATAAAAGCCACCAAAACAACCAGAAGATTTCATGTGGATTATGAAAACTTACCCACTCATAATTTTTAGAAAGAAATTGAGCAACAGTTGATTTGTGCCTTGTCATGAGCTCCTGTTCAAGTATGGCAATGAGTCAGTTGATTTGTGGATTGTGAAGCATAATAGTGACCATTTCTTAAATTTTGATAAGCTGTTCAAACTTTACCAACCTTGAAAGTAGCTGCAGCATCTGATGCTATGTCGAAATTTGGAGTTTGTATATAATCGAAAAACTTCTTCATGTGGTCTGATTCCAAGACATACCTGTGAAATCATCCCGTTGAAAATTAAACATTGTTTGATAACCAAACTCACTTTGCACCATTAATTTATCCGGAGATGTACAAAGTAGAAAAAGTGTTACCTTGCTACATTCTGGCGACGAATGCATTCCCTTGAAATTGCACCATATGACAGAGCAACATCGCCGCTGTCTTCATAGCTAAACCAAACCAAACCGAACTATTCATTAACATTTCGTTGAATTCAGTACTGCACATTTTCTAACTTCAATATTGATAATTTCTTACCCTTTTATCAGAATGTCCATAAGATCTATATTCTTTTCCAAGTACTCTAAAGCAATCAATTGGGACTGAACTCGTTGCCTTAGCAAATTTGCAACGACATGAGTGGCGTTTTTACGAGCCTGCAGCATTTGCATACACAGTAACACAATGTCAAATCTCTAAAGCATGCAATTGGGTTACACAAACTGATGTAGGAAAACAGCTACATATAGTAGCTAAGCTGATATGCCTATGCTTACCCCCAAGTTGAGCTTTGAAAGGCAAACAATGAGAAGCCTGAATGTGTCCCCTCTGAAAAATTCCTGAGTAAGTTGTGCACAAGAGTCTTTATTTGGCCCTGATTCCTCATCACCATATAAAACTGTTCTTATCTCCAAGATTGCTTTGCTCAGTTCATCCATCTATATAACAAATTTCAAAGTAAATGCCATTAAAATCCTATTCCATATAAACATACAAACTAAACAATTTCATTAATCTCAAAATCTCACTCACTCTAAATTTCTACACACAAGCTAACCTCCACAACCCCAAATTGAAAAATTTCATGACATTAAACATCCTTTTTTTTTTCCTTCAAAAAAATATGACATGTAATATCAAATAGATTACATAACATGACAACGGGGTCTAGGCCAGTAAAAAAGAGCCTTGACTTGAAGTGTTCTCAGTTTCGAATCCCATGACACCTTGGTCGTGTGTGTGAGATTCCCATCCTCTTGTAGTTTAGAGGATCGCTGGTGAAAACAATAGTACAATAGGAAATTAGCAATGTGAAAACTGATCAAAACAAAAACCAGACCTTTTCTTTGCGCTTTTGCTCGCGCGCATCCATGTTCCGATCAAGAAACGTGAGAAGCTCGTGCGTGTGCTTTACAAGCTCCAATGGGCTTCGCGCCTTCGGCTTGAAAAGACCCTTCATTGTCAACTTTTTCGCCATCAGACCACAAACTTCATCAACCTCCTCGTACGTTTCCTACTTTGTATTTGGGATTCACAACTTGAGAATGTTTAGCGTTTTAGGAGGAAGACATTGAGATTGGAAACTTGGAATCTAACAATCCATGACAGTTTTTCTGGGACGACAAAAAGTTGTTAGAATCTACAAATATAGCATCTCTTGCAAAAGGGAATTTCTACTTTTATAGCACGTGTACTCCACCTGCGAATCAAGTTGTGACACGTGGAATATAAAAGAGCGTGGGGCTAGCAATGAGGATGAGGGGCTCAAATGCGTAGGAAAGCTAGATGTAAATTGGATTTACAACTACTGCAAGCAGAAAATAGTAATACAAGCTGAGACAGAGTTCAACTACACAAAGGATAAGAACAACGGTGAGGAGGATGCCAAAAATAGAAAAAAAAAAAAAAAACTTTCTTGTAACGGAGATAACAAACCGAGAGTTTCACTCCAAAAATAAGGGAGCATTTGTATTTGTTTTCTTGTTGTTGTTGTATTGGTTATTGGTATTTTTAGCTTAAAATTATAAGTTACATAACAAGAAAGTAGGATTATTAACTTATGTGTCGTTTTAAGATTTGTGTTAAACCTTTTGAATTTAGAGTTTATATTATAAAAAACAATTAAGCCGTGGTCTAAAACAACGAAACTTTTAATAATTAGTGTTAATTTTTTTTTTTCAACATTTATCATTGAACTCGATGTTGCCCTTTCTCAATATCACTTATAAAATAGAAAAAAAAAACTTATTCTTATTTAGATATGTAAATTGTCTCATACATTTCATTCGTTTTTATAAACATTTGATTGCTAATTACGAATTGAGATTTGTATTAAAAAAAAAAAAAAGATTTAACTCCAATTTTAAGTTGTCATGGGAGTTGGAACTTAAGTTGCTAGGTGGGTCTCGACAAAAAAAAAAAAGTTGCTAGGTGGGTCCTTAATTTTTATTTTTAAATAAATAGTATAGCCGCGCGGCTGTATTATTTAATAGTACAGCCGCGCGGCTATACTATAATATTTAATTAGTACAGCCGATCGGCTATACTATTTATGAAAAAAATTATAAAAAAAAGGGACCCGCCTAGAGCCTACAAGCTTGGCCTTTTTCCACCCCGTTGGCAAATTTGGCTCCAATTTTATTAATTTTTATTTTTGGTGAGATTTGGCTCCAATTAGAAGCCTCACCCTTCAAGGCGTCGTCCGAGAAAAAACCCAATTAGCCAAACCTCCACCACATACAAAGTCACAAACGCCACTGTCACTCTCAAACTCTCCCCGTAGCTCACAACCCTTTGAAGTATACATCTTCATACTCACTTTCAAAGAAGATCCAGATGTTAATTCTTCAGAGAATGGCCACTTCTTCTTCTTTCCTCTCAACCCCTCTCCTAAAGGCTTCTTCTTCTTTTCCCACCCATTTCCTTTCCCCTCTTAAACACTGCGTTTCAGCACCCAGCACAGAGTTCAGGGCTCTTGCCCTTTACAGGAACAGAAATGGAGTCTCCACGTCTTCGGCGGCTGTGGCTACGGAGACTCAGGTTTCGACCCCAGACGACAAATTGAAGGAGAACCGGAAGGAGAAATCTGATAAGCTAGAGAAAGTCGTGCTTCCAACCAACGAGTCCTCTGAGAGCCTTCTCAGAATTCGCCACACGGTTTTGTACTTTGCTTATTGAATTTTTTCTTCTTTTTCTTTTGATGGGCGATTCTATTTCATATGTTTTTTAATTTGGTTTTTGGTGGTTTATGCTGTTCTTTTGGTTGCTCTATTGGTTTTAGTTGTTTGGTTATTATGCTAATGTGAGTGTCATATTGAACTAGGAGGTACATTCAGGTTGCAATTTCTGAACTTTTAGGTGCTCGGGAAGTAATGCTTTTGTACCACCACTTCCAAATTCCAATTCTATGTTATTAATTGTCACCCAGAATAGGCTATCCATTTTGTTATAGAAAGAGGGACAAAAAAAACCATAACTTTTGGGTAATTTGATTGTTTAGGACTGAAAAAAAATGGGTCTACAAGAGTAGATAAGCTGGGGATTTTTTTTTTCTGGAGTTGGGAATTTGAGAAGATACTTGGGTTTTATGTCTTATGTATGGTGTTAACTATATTTCTTTCCATGAATGTCCTGAGAATTTGGTATCGAGGGTGCCTTTTCCATTGTTATGAGGATGAAATGCTTTTATCTGCATCACTGCAGTGTGCACACGTGATGGCCATGGCTGTTCAAAAGCTCTTCCCAGATGCAAAAGTGACAATTGGTCCGTGGATAGAAAATGGGTTTTACTATGATTTTGATATGGAGCCTTTGACAGACAAAGAGTTGAAGAGAATCAAGAAGGAGATGGTAAGTGGAATTTATGTATCAGTTACTATATTTTTACCAAACTTTTGGAACCATGAAAGCATTGCAAACTATTCATTAGCCTTTTTACGTTGTTTGTAGGATCGCATCATTGGTAGAAATTTACCACTTATAAGAGAAGAAGTTTCAAGAGATGAAGCTCAGAGAAGAATAACTGCTCTCAATGAACCATACAAATTGGAAATTTTGGATAGCATTAAGGAAGATCGCATTACCATATATCATATTGGTAAGGGTTTCACCATTTTAAGCCTCAATGCAGAATCAAAGGTGATGATTTCATATGCAGGAACTGTTCATAAATGATTTACTAAATAAAGAAAACAAATTAACCAGCTATTTCTTTTGACCTACACGGTGGAATGTACAGTGGTATGTGTTGAGAGTCAGAAGATAGAAATTTATAGGAAGACAAATTGGTGAAAGAAAAAAAGAGAGGACAGGGGTGTGCTCAGGGTAAAAGATGTTGGTGCAAGTGTTCTCATTAAAATGAGTTACTGATATGAGGATCTTATCCGAGGAATCTGTTGCTCGGGCTAATTAAACACACATTTGCATGCACTCGGATTTGATTTTGTTTTGAACTAGCTTCTAGTTAAATTAGAATGTCTTTATGTCATAATCCCTTATGTTATACTAAATCCTTCATAGGTAATGAATGGTGGGACCTATGTGCGGGACCTCATGTTGAATATACTGGAAAAATTAACAGAAAAGCTGTTGAACTTGAGTCCATTGCTGGTGCTTACTGGAGAGGAGATGAAAAGAAACCCATGCTGCAGAGGATCTATGGAACTGCATGGGAGAGTGAAGATCAATTGAAGGCATATCTTCATTTCAAAGAGGAAGCTAAACGTCGAGATCACAGGCGCCTTGGTCAAGTACTTGACCTGTTTTCTATACAGGTACTCAAATTGAATTGCACTGAATCTCTTTATGCTGTTTATACAGGTTTAACAGTTAAGCAGTGTGATTAATTGCAATCATCTCGTATGAGGATTCTTGCATTGAACATTTTAGTTGGTGAATTTTTACAGAATGATGCTGGTGGGGGTTTAGTGTTCTGGCATCCAAAGGGTGCTATTGTGAGGCATGTAATAGAAGATTTGTGGAAAAAGATCCACATAGAACGTGGTTATGATCTGCTGTATACTCCACATGTTGGAAAGGCAGATCTTTGGCAGATAAGTGGTCATCTGGATTTCTACAAAGAGAATATGTATGATCAGATGAATATTGAGGATGAACTTTATCAACTTCGACCGATGAACTGCCCCTATCACGTCTTGATTTACAAGAGGAGGCCTCACTCTTATCATGATTTTCCTATTCGAGTTGCTGAGTTGGGAACAGTATATAGATATGAGTTATCTGGAAGCTTACATGGCCTTTTTCGTGTAAGAGGTTTTACTCAGGTATGCTGTTAGTATCTCCCCTCCCTCTCTTGGCCTGTGCTACGAAGTGTATTTTGTTTAACCTCAGGACCATTTTGCAGGATGATGCACACATCTTTTGTCTAGAAGATCAGATTAAAGATGAAATCAGGGGTGTCCTAGATCTTACCGAAGAACTTTTACTGCAATTTGGCTTCAGCAAATATGAAGTCAATCTCTCTACGAGGCCAGAGAAATCTGTTGGAGATGATGATATATGGGTGAAAGCAACATCTGCCCTTACAGATGCTTTGGATGATAAGGGTTGGAGCTATCAAATTGATGATGGTGGTGGTGCCTTTTATGGTCCCAAGATTGATCTTAAGATTGAAGATGCTCTTGGAAGGAAGTGGCAGTGCTCAACTATACAGGCAAGTCCTCAACTTGTGACAGGCTGAATTTTAATGTGTGCACATTTTTTTTTAATTGGCAGTCTCTCCATCTCTCTGTCTCATTTTGTAAAATGTTCATTGGAGATTCTAAGCATTTTTTTTGAATTGATCATACTTCATGGATATGTTTAATTGACTAAAACCACTTTATTATGTTCTTTTTAAATTGTTTGATCTTTTTTATTTTATTTTTAATTTACCATTCCACAAACTGTGCAGGTTGATTTTAACCTACCACAGCGTTTTGACATAACATATGTTGACTCAAACTCGGAAAAGAAGCGGCCTATAATGATTCATAGAGCTGTTCTTGGGTCCTTGGAGCGTTTCTTTGGAGTCCTTATAGAGCATTATGCTGGGGATTTTCCATTATGGCTTTCGCCAGTACAAGCTCATGTTTTACCAGTTACTGACACTCAGGTACGCAAAGCAGGTTGCACATTTAATGTTTCAAAAAACTCAACCCTCAACACCTACATACTCTTTTGTTTCCCCATGAAATTTGAATGGCTGAACTTACATAGGATCAGTATACTTTTTCATTTATCTCACGAGTGATTGGCCATACCATGAATTACAAACTTGTAATTCATTCAAAATATATTGTTTACGAGGGTATACACTCCAACACTGCAAAGTGATGGATCAATTTAAAATGACGTGCAAAGGGGCCATTCAAATTTCTTTACACAAGCAAACCAACGTTAAAGTCAATGTTCCTTGTGTTCCTAACTTCTATTATTTAGGAACTGAGACAGTCATTTTATTTTATTTTTTGTTACTATGAGATGATTATCTTTGCATTGAAGCAAAAGTTTAAATTTCTGTACAGCTTGATTACTGCAAAGAGGTAACCAACAAACTGAAAGCAAATGGTATTCGCGGTGAACTTTGCCACGGTGAACGCCTGCCAAAACTGATTAGAAATTCAGAGATGCTGAAAATCCCATTGATGGCTGTTGTCGGTGCCAAAGAAGTTGAAACTGGCACTGTTACAGTAAGATCCAGGTTTGGTGGGGATCTTGGCACCATGGCAATTGATGATTTTGTCAGTACAATCAAGTTGGCCATTGAAAGCAGAGCGTCAATTTGAAGTGCTTGCAGTTGCTGAAGGGTGGTCATCCTATTGATTTTGAAAGGTGTCTAGTCACAGGAAAAGGCAAAAACGAAGCAGAGTTGATAACTAAGAGCAATTTTGTTGCATTTGTCCTGTACCATAGTAGCATTGTACCCATTTATTGTTTAGTCAGTGCCGCGATGGATTCATCATATTGAAGATTCATTTGCAGAGAGCTTGAAGTTGGCAACGATGCAGAAAGGTAATCAAAGCTTGAATCTTGTCAAAGAGAAGAGGTCATGCTTCCCAAATTCATTACAGGTTGCACTTATATTTGTATGGGTCATGCTAGGGAGACCAACTTGGGAGACCAACTTGGGATACCAACTCTCTAATAGAGGTGGAGCCCACCAATGCAATGGGTCCCACGCTCTATTAGAGAGTTGGTATCCCAAGTTGGTCTCCCAAATTGGTCTCCCTAGCATTTTCCTATTTGTATATATTCACAGACCAAGGGGTATTAATGTCAGCCAGACGTGGATTAACAGTTTACCTGGTTTGCATTTGGAACTGGATGGCCTGATGAAACATTGGTTCTTTTTTTTCTTTTTTTTCTTTTCATACTTCTTTGATACCTATCGACTTTGATGTTTTCTTGCTATACTTTGAAAAAATTTCAGTCGATAATGACTTTTTAGTGGAAGGGTGATAAAAGATTGCTTGTGCGTACAAGGGGTTTGTGTGGTTCAATTTCAAACCATTCATCTATTTGATCAAGTGGTCCTAACATTATTTATTAATGTCCAAGCCACAGAGCTTTCCAAGATAACCATTCAAAATATCCAATTTGCGTGGTGATATGAGACTTTCTAATGTGCATTAAATGTAATAGAGCAATGAATTAATAAGCTTTACCCTTGTTGGAGGCCAATAAGCTCTTCCACACACGTAGGTTCTCAGAAAAATCTATACGTGCATATTTGTACATGTAAGAGGTTAGAGGTGCAAAAGCCTGGTTAGCAGGTAAATTAAGAAACTATAGCACCTAAAATTGGAGGATAATTTGAGGAGTTATAGAAATCATCACCAAAAACAAGGGGACCTCATAGATTTCGTCCACATAAAATTAGGTTCAAGATTTTGTGGTTTTCAGCTTCCTTAACTACACTATATAACGAAACCCTTCATTGAAAAAGTACTCAAGGTTATTAGAATTTAGAAGCTCAAAGTTGTTATACAAAAGAAGCCTCACATGGGTTCAAAATTTATTCTTGGAACTACATTCTTTTTGTTCTTGATATCATTTTCCATAAAAGCCAGAGCTGCAGATTTTGATATCAAGAAGTATGGAGCCAAGGCTGATGGTAAGACAGATGATAGCCAGGTAAAACTTTTGTGCACATTATACAAATGTGATATTTCTCTTCCCAGATATTTAGTACGTTGTAAATGTTGTCAAACTATGAATGCGGGCCGTATATCTTAACATCTTAGTAACCTTTTGAGTATGCTATTGATTTTAGGCTATTAATAGTGCTTGGAAAGAAGCATGCGCATCCACAACTCCGAGCACGGTTGTGATAGCAAAAGGAAACTACATGGCTGGTCCGGTGAAGTTTCAAGGGCCCTGCAAAGCACCGGTTAGCGTTCGGGTTGAAGGAATCTTGCAGGCTCCAGCAGAGCCAGAAAAGCTCAAGTCACAAGATGGTTGGGTTGTTTTCCGAAATATTGATGGGTTAACAGTCTCAGGAGGTGGCACTTTTGATGGCCAAGGATCAATAGCTTGGTCCAAAAATGATTGTGCCAAAACTGGAAAATGCAACTCACTGCCTATAGTAAGTTTTTTAAATTTGAAGTGCACGTTTTTTTGATCAATTTCTTGTGAGCTAGAAACAGAGGCTAACAAATAGAATTTGCTCAATTGGGTTCCTTGAATGCAGAACATAAGATTCATAGGGCTCACCAATTCACACATTCAAGACATAACATCTTTAAATAGCAAGCTGTTCCACATAAACGTCTTGAATTGCAAAAATGTGACACTTCAACATGTGATCATGACCGCCCCTGGTAAAAGCCTAAACACAGATGGAATCCACATTGGCCGGTCATCGAACATCAACATCACCGGCGCAGAGATCAAAACCGGCGACGATTGCGTCTCTCTTGGCGATGGAAGCCAGCAAATAAACATTGAAAAGGTGAAGTGCGGGCCGGGCCACGGCATCAGCATTGGGAGCCTAGGCAGGTACCATGATGAACAACCTGTCACAGGAGTCACAGTGAGAAACTGCACCATATCAAACACTTCAAATGGCGTGAGGGTCAAGACATGGCCTGCTTCTCCAAATGGTATGGCCTCATATTTGCACTTTGAGGACATAATTATGGAAAATGTGAAGACCTCCCCTATTCTTATAGACCAAGAATACTGTCCAAATGGCCAATGCCAAGCGAAAATCCCGTCGAAAGTTAAGATAAGCAATGTGAGCTTTAAGAACATTAGGGGGACTTCTGCTGATCCTGTTGTTGTGAAGCTTGCTTGCAGCAAAGGCATTCCATGCCAGAATGTGCAAATAAGTGACATCCATTTGACATACAATGGGAAAAATGGTGTTGCCACATCTGTATGTACTAACGTCAAGCCCACTATGACTGGCCAAATTTTTCCTCCTGCTTGTGCAAAGACTGCAGCTTTAAGGTGATTTAATTGCATCTTAAAGAGATGATTAAAAGAAATTAGTAGGAAATTAGATGAAAATAATCTGCAGGGCGCCCCTTCCATGCTTAATTGGAATGGTGGGTGGTGGACTACACATATGCAATAGTATAGATGTTATCTTTTGTATACATGTATTATGGATTTAGATTAATGTACTATTGTTATTCATGGGAAAGAAATAGTAAAGGCTGTTGAGCCCAACACGTGCCTTGCTATATAATAATTCAATAGTTAAGCCCTATTTCTTAGTTGTTAGATCAAATTCGTTAGCTGTTGGATCAAATTGGTTAGTTTGATCTAACGATTAAGAGATATGACCTAATGACTTTAATTTGAAGGAAGTTGAGGTTCCACCTCAAAACCAATTGGCAATGAGGGGAGTAGCCCAACTCCTTCTAAGCCTTTGCTAGGTTTCTCAACTTTCCAATGTGTGATTTTTTACCTTCAACATTCTCACACACCCTTGCACGTGTGGCGAATTTTCAAGCCTAACATGTGGACAACACATGGATGACGTGGAGCACGTGTGGCTGTTGGGCTTTCACACGTGGGCTAACCCACTCTGATACCATGAAGGAAGTTGAGGTTCCACCCCAAAACCAATTGGCAATGAGGAGAGTAGCCCAACTCCTTATAAGCCCTTGTTAGGTTTCTCAACTTTCCAATATGAGACTTTTTACCTTCACATTCTAACAGTAGGAATATAAGATGAAACATCTCCCGATAGGGTCTTAACTATTGGTAAAGCATGCCTTAGATAAGGCCCTCACTCACTTCTTATAAACCCAGGCTAGATCCCTTAACTTTTCAATGTGAATATAAACGAATTTCCAATAGTTATTTCTCATGTCACGACTACTTTGTTACAAATTATGGTCGAGAATTTATTAGTTGGATTAGTGCGTTCGGAAACAGTTTTTGGTTTATGAAAAATCAATTGTATGTGTGTATTTTTTTTGTTAATCTTTGCACCAAATTGGATTATAACAGGTTTAGTACTTTTGGTTTATAAGTCATCCATGTCATAAATATTTTCTTTCTAATTTGACATAGTATTGGAAGAAAAAATCTTTTGCCCAAGTTGGAAACTGAGATCTGATTCCATCATTAAATAAATCGATAGATAAGAATATTTGTCCATCTGTAATAGAAATTACATTAGTAGGAATATAAGACGAAACATCTCCCGATTAGGTCTCAACTATTGGTAAAGCGGCGGAACTGTAGCCTAGTGTGGTTTTTAAAGAAAAATATTTAACTTAGTTTCAATGTTAGCCTTGTCATTTTACTTTTATTTATTTTTATATTACTCCATTTACTTAAGTTTACAATGTAAATAAGGAAGTACCCCTCATTTGAATTCAAATAAAAATATTAGAAAATCAAATTCCAACCAAATCAAATTATGAAAAATCGATTTTAGTGCAAAATACGATTTAGGCTAAAAATGATGGCTCATTAAGTCAATATATACTTCATACTAAAATCCCATAAAATCAAGTTTTCTTACTTTATGTGTGAGGAATAATAGCCGCCAAAAATTATCTTGAGAAAATGATTATTCCGAAAACCCATTTTTCATACTTAGTCAATATTTTTACATAAAACAATTTTTCATGTATGATATGAATGCATGACGGAACCTAAGGTCAATCTAGGTAAAAAGCCTTGGATGTTCAATCCACTATGGTGTTAAACCCTATTTAGTTTATGTTAAAACTTATTGAAAATTAGTCTATGGAGCTATGAACTAGCATGGTTTATATGATTTAATAATGTTTACTTTTATTTCTAGAAAGACTATAGAAATTGTAAGTACAAAAAAAAAATGATCATTAAATTTTAAGCTAATAACTTTAGCTAGCCCACCCATAAAAAAATTCCTGGTTTCGCCCTTGCATGCCTTAGATAAGACCCTCACTCACTCCTTATAAACCCATATGCTAGGTCCCTTAACTTTTCAATGTGAATATAAAACGAATTTCCAATAGTTATTTCTCATGTCACGACTGCTTTGTTACAAATTATGGTCAAGAATTTATTAGTTTGATTAGTGCGTTCAGAAACAGTTTTTGGTTTTTGAAAAATCAATTGTATGTGCGTATTTTTTTGTTAATCTTTGCACCAAATTGGATTATAAAGTACTTTTGGTTTATAAGTCATCCATGTCATAAATCTTTTCTTTCTGATTTGACAAAGTCTTGGAAGAAAAAATCTTTTGCCCAAATTGGAAAATGAGCCAAGAGCCATTGTAGGTAATTCATGTTCTAAAGCTGAGCAGCTTAATTAATTACTAATTATAGGATAGTTGACCAACATTCAACTTCTTAATTGGGCAAATAAATATTAACGGTGATGAGCTTTCCAATGGGAGTATAAATTGGGCTGAAAGCAATGGAGTTTCATCATACTCCAAAGAAAAAGGAAATAACAAAGTCTCAAGATGGGTTTGAAATTGAAAAATGTCTTGCCAATGTTCGTGTTCTTGTTGTTAGCATCCACAGCTAAAGCTCAACCTGCTGCCTTAGATGTGACAAGTGAAAAATATGGTGGAAAGCCAGACTCTGATATTACCCAGGTAACAAAAAAATTTGTATTCATATTCGGTTCTGATTAGAATTTGTTTCTACAATTGTTTGCCAAACTAAATCATTAACAGTTTTAAATTTGTGTAATGTTAATTAGGCTTTAGAGAAGGCTTGGACAGATGCATGTGCATCAACAACACCGAGTAAAATTGTTGTTCCAAAGGGAACATTCAAGTTTGTAGGAACAACTTTTAAAGGTCCTTGCAAGGCTGCTATTGAGTTCCAGCTCCAAGGAACATTGCAGGCTCCGGTAGATGGCAGCCAGCTCCCGAAGGACGACACTTGGATTGGTTTCGACCACGTCGACGGGCTAACCTTGTCAGGTGGTGGAACTTTTGATGGCCAAGGAGCACAGTCTTGGAAAAACAATGATTGCAACAAAAATACGCAATGCAAATCTAAACACATTGTAAGATGATTTAATCCAACCATGTTGTTTTATATACTTGAAAATCTTCTTGTGTCACACAAGAGCATTTTTGAATCTTGCTCATTGATCAATTCTTGACTTGATGATACTTGATCTAGATTCACAGCCTGACAATATAAACATATTTGTGTTTGATTTGTTTTCTTAATATATGCAGAATTTGAGGTTAAACTTCCTCACCAATTTAAAAATTTTGGACGTAACTTCAAAAGATAGCAAAAATTTCCACGTCAATGTTTTCAAGTGCGAGAAGGTTGAAATCAAAGGATTTACCGTCTCAGCACCTAAGGAAAGCATGAACACTGATGGAATTCACATCGGGCGTTCAACTGGGATCAACATCATTGACACAACCATCGGAACTGGGGATGATTGTATTTCAATCGGTGACGGTACCAAGAACATCACTGTGACCAACGTTAAGTGTGGGCCAGGCCACGGCATAGCCATCGGGAGCCTTGGAAGGTACCCAGAGGAAGAACCCGTGTCCAGCATCAACATTAAGAACTGCACCTTGACTGATACAACGAATGGTGTGAGGATCAAAACATGGCCAGATTCCCCAAAAGATGGCACTGCCTCAGATATTCACTTTGAGGATATTACCATGGTTAATGTTGGTAACCCTATCCTCATTGACCAAGAGTACTGCCCATGGAACGAATGCAAAAAAGGGGTATCTATCTATAACAATTTATTAACATCATATATATGTCCCTTGTTAATCAAGTCATCATTTACTGAATATTTAAAAGGATTTAAATTAATCAATTAATGAATGGTTTTGTGTAGGTTCCTTCCAAAGTTAAGATCAGCAATGTTAGCTTCAAGAACATCAAGGGCACATGTACCGACCCAGTTGCTGTGAAGCTTGTATGCACCCAAGGCATGCCATGTGAGAATGTGGAATTGAGTGACATTGATTTGAAGTACACTGGAAACAAAGGCCCTATTACCTCTGTGTGTTCTAATGTCAAGCCGACAATTAATCGCGTGCCACAGCCTCTTGCTTGCGCTACCAGCGCTGCTGCTGCTTGATCTAACAAGCACAACCCATGCTGCTGATGTTTCTTCATAGACACATTGGTTGTGTGCTCTTTGATTATTTGCTAATTGTACTTGGTGTTTTCATCTAAGAGGGGGAAAATATCTCAGTACATTTTTTGTTACATCTTAAAAGAGATGAATAAATCTTCTTTGGATATTTGATTAAAAAAGAATGTTATTGGAATATGAATCTTCTTTGGATATTTGTTTAACCAAATTTACTCAATTAGCCTCTTTATTTAATTGTTTCTGTATGAATGACCACCTCGACCAGTGGTGTGCTGGGAAGGGGAAGAGGAAGGGGTGATTCAATCTTATGCTTTTTATTTTTTGTGCAAGAATAGAAGTAAAAAAAACCTCAAACATAAAAGAAGAAGAAGGATTATTAATTCAAGTAATGTGTTTTGTTTAAATACACATTAAAAAAAAAAATTTGCCTTGAACATTTGTTATCTGCTATCATATGCATTTTTTATGCGCGCCATACTAATCATTCTTTCTTCTTTGTAGATGTGAATTAGGACAAAACAATGTGCCAATCCCCTTGCAATTTGAATCTTCTTTGGATATTTGTTTAACCAAATTAACTCAATTAGCCTTTATATTTAATTATTTCTCTTCCTAGATATTTAGTAAGTTGTAAATGTTGTCAGACTGTGAATGCGGACTTATATCTTAACATCTTAGTAACCTTTTCAGTATGCTATCGATTTTAGGCTATTAATAGTTCTTGGAAAGAAGCATGCGCATGCACAACTCCGAACACAGTTGTGATAGCAAAAGGAAACTACATGGCTGGTCCAGTGAAGTTTCAAGGGCCCTATAAAGCACCGATTAGCATTTGGGTTGAAGGAACCCTGCAGGCTCTTGCAGAGCTAGAAAAGCTCAAGTCACAAGATGGTTGGGTCGTTTTCCAAAATATTGATGGGTCAACAGTCTCAGGAGGTGGCACTTTTGATGGCCAAGGATCAATAGCGGGTTGAAGGAACCCTGCAGGCTCTTGCAGAGCTAGAAAAGCTCAAGTCACAAGATGGTTGGGTCGTTTTCCAAAATATTGATGGGTCAACAGTCTCAGGAGGTGGCACTTTTGATGGCCAAGGATCAATAGCTTGGTCCAAAAATGATTGTTCAAAAAC